GAAGCCGTACGCATGCACTACTAACACTGTCCCCTTGTCACTCTGGGCCTCTTCGGTGAGCCACTTGTTCTTCACAGGGATATCAAGCTTCTCCGCCTCCACGCGAGGCCCGCCGCGGCGCGCTGGACGCAGCCCAACGTTGTGTCGCAGGATGCGCGTCTCGGGATCCTTGATTGCAGGAGCGAGAGCAGCGCATCGCTCGATAATGCCCTGTGCGTCCTCGGCACTGAAGGACGTGTCCCAGTTGTCCTTCTGATACTTGCCTCCCAGGATCGTTGTGAACCCGTTAGGGGACGGGCGCGGAATAATGTACGTCGCGTTGCCGTCGTCGCAGCTCGCTGCAGTCAGAAGCATCGGTTAGAAGGTATGCTACAGGACATATCAATGCGCCGGTGGAGCGGGACGTACTGAGTTCTGTGCACATGAACTCGTGCACCTTCGGGTTGTCGATCACGACTGTCTGCCCGCGGATGGGAAACACGTCCTTGTCTTCCAGGCCAATCAACGACCTCGCACCTGCGACAATGCAAACGGGCGCAGTCAGCACAGGTATTTACGCAGCTGCAACATGCGGCTATCGTACGCACCCAGCCCGGTGGCATTTACGAGGACTCCATTGGGCCCCGCAAGCGCAGCGGCCTCTCCCAGCGTGACGACGCGCTTGCGGACGAACTCAACGCCGCGCGCGAGAAGTTCTGACTTGAGCCACGGAAGGTATGCGTCTGGCCATACAGAGACGGTCTTAAAGCCGACACCCGCCTTCATGCTCGCTGGCAGCTCATCTTTGCCTAGGATGCGAAACTGCCTTTCAAGGTAAGCTTGATCACCACAAGGGTTACACGTGCGGGACGTACGTCGCGGACTAGGGTTTTATACCACAGCTCATTCAAGTTGGTCCCTTCTTCATAGAAGACTCTCGACGGAGATGCCTGACATGCGTATTCATGTGAGATAGACCATGGTGAGGGGCGAAGCCAGCCTCGGACTTACAATGGCCAGCCCGGTGGGTATCATGTCCCAGAATTTATCACTAAACGCGATTCATCAGATCCAGGTGAACGTGGTATCCATGTCTTGCTAGAGACGTACTAAGTAGTCTTCTCCCATTTATAGATGCGTTCATTGTATGTGCCCATCGGCGACCAATTCGCGCCCTGTGTAGCGTATGAGCCTCGAACGCCCAAACCGATCCCCGTCCGCTCATCAACGAGCGAATGCGGAGAATAACATGCAGATTGCAGAATGCAGAGTGCATAGTTGTCCCCGCACTTGTCCCGTTCATGGCTGACCGACAAAACTCAGTGGTGCTTACCGCCCATGGGGAAGCAAAGGCTTGTGAGTCCAAGTCTTCCGGCATGTCCCTCGCTACGATTCTGATCTTGTACCGTGCATCCTTGGACAGGACATGCGCGACTGTGAGACCGATCACGCCAGCGCCTAGAATGACTACCTGGGTCGATGAATTCTGTGAAGCATTACCGGACATCCTGGGCGGTACGATGTTGTTGACTGTTCGTCGATCTCTGGGACCGAAGAATGGATGGGAGGTGACCTGAGAGTTACGAGAGGTTGCAGATCATAAGTATCACGTACGGGACGCCGCTCCCGAGTCAAGGCCCGAGTCATACTGAGTCCTTGGACAAGTCTAGGCGATCACGTCTATTATAATAGACATACATCGATCAAAGTGTCGATTATGGATGATGTGGCGGCGTCAGCTCCAGGAATTGCTTTCTTCATAGTCCTCGTCAACGTTGATGTGCTTGACTTAGCCAACTATCCAGCCATGCCAGTGGAGATCAGGACAAGCAGGAAGGAATCCGGATCGAGGTAATATCGAGGGCCTGAACACGGCACAGCCACGAGCGGAGACTTGGGAAGCAGCCCCTCCTCGACTCTGCCACCCAGAAGCGGGGATCTTCCAGGGTTCCACCAAGTCTGCGGCTCGAACACCGGCTGGGATGAACGCAAAGACCACTTCTTCTAGCTGGCCGAGGCGGCCAAGGAAGCCCAGGAAGCTGGCTCCAAATTGAGCGAGCTCTCGCCTAACGAGCCACTTCCCACTCGCTCCAAAACAATTGCGGCGCATCCACGAACACATGTCGTATTGCTGCCGGTCCCTAGCGCTTGCGAAGTAACCCCATTCTTTGGTGGGCAACCGGATTCGTGCAGGGACGCTCAATATAAGACGATCCCAGTGGCTTGCCCGCACCCCGTCAACCAACCGAGAGACCACCGCTGCCACGCCTTCTCCATGCCTCGCCCGCCCAGCCCTTCAGACGACTCTTCTCTCCAACGCACGGCACGCTGGGTTCAGGCGCAGGCTCAACAGACATACGAGCAACCACGACCAGCGTCGCCCTCCAGAGCATCTAGCCAGTCCTCATCCTCATACCAGACGACATCGTCTTCGGAAGAGAGGTCTTGGAAATCACCTGTAGCGCCGCCATTGGTTACCCCATACGGCATGCCCGCCGCTCACCTTCCCCAACGACCGCGGTATGATGCTCGGTCACGGAGGGCCAGTCTGCCCTTCCCGCAGAGCCCGCCAGGCTCAGGATACCCCGTACCTTTGGAAGTAGCGTCGCCACGAAGAGTGGAGCCCGAAGACAAAAAGGTGAGCGCTGCAGGACCTCGTCGGCAAGGGCACATATCGAATCAGGATATCCAGACCCCAAGGCCTTCGATTCGGAAACAGAGGCGGCCTTCGCTCATCGAAACGCTTGTCTCTTTCGGAGCACCTAGCCAGCGACGAAGCGAGGGCTCCGGCAAAAAAGGACATACATAGTTAGCAAGCTCGCCTCGGAGACGTACCTTGTGCCCAGCGGTGGTCGTATAGTGTGTTATTGAGGGGATTGTTTTGCGATACCACGAGGACTGTACAGTCGACAAGTATGTAGGCATCCATGAGGCCCAAGTGTTGTATGAGTAGTAGGTGGTACTACCTGAGGCATGTATCCGCAATATTACGATGTCAGGCGGCTTAAAGTTACGAGCCCAAGCAGTGCGGTCGGAGCATGTGCAAGTCGACGACTCGATGTCCTATGTACTTAGTGGAACCATGGACTGTGTCACTTCGCTCTTTCGTGGAACGCGGACACGATGCGCGCTTAACTTCTTGTTCCCCTCCACAATGTTGACACCCGACGGCAGCTGCCACGGCGCAGGGATTCGGCCTGACGAACCAAGTAAGCTGCAGCCAAAAGTGATAGGATTGTTCACTGCGCCGTTCCAGTGATTCACTTGCACCAATTACTGTTGGCACTGCATTGTCCTGGCCTGTCGGTGAACAACTCGAGACTCGAAGCATCATATCCCCAGTATTAGCCTCGTTTGACCTATCCTCGCTGTCGTTCAGTATGTGCGTGCTATGATCAGGACTAGATTGCACGATACCGTTGCACTACGCACTCCGGAGGGATCTGCTTCGACGTTTGTGGCTAGCAGACGATTATCGGCCCCAAGTCCTCACCCTGCTTCAGGTCAGAACCATGCTAAGCTCTGCCAATCTACTGCCAATGCGGCTCTCGGCGCTGTCTCCGTCCTCGCTTGTAGTGCTGCACTAGCGTGTCTCCTGTGCCGGTGGCTATCTGGGCTGTTCATCTCCTGGGAAATTTACTGTAGGGCATGCCTCCTGCGGGCTGGCCAAGACTTCGCAGACGGACACGCACACGCGTGTCCGCCACAAGGCCGGATCACTCGTCCCGTACATATAGGATCTGCCTGGTCCTGAACGTATTTCTGACGAACTGCTGCATCATCCCAAGCACCCCGAACCAATCTGGTATTGGCTGTACAACCACATCAACGCCTCACAATGTCGCCTGAGGTCCGATTCAACGCACTCGGAATCCCGTACGTCGTCGAATTCGCCAACGTCACCTTCCGCGCGCCTTCTCGGTCCAGCTCCCGCGCGTCTTCGCGCTCCGTGGTCCCTCGTCGCGAAGCGGAGCTGCCTCCGTTGCCGCCATCTCGCCCACTTGCGTTGCGGAGAGAGGCTTCGAGCTCTCGCTCGACCCTCAATCTCCGTCCTACGCCCAGCCGGAGCACGCTCAACTCTGAATGGACGCTCGCCGCGACGGCTTCTTCGGAGACCCTCGCCTGCCGGGAACCCGAGAAGACGATCGACACCAACGAGGACCACGGGCTATACATCCGCTTCGCATCACAGCTCTCGCAACCGCCGAGCAAGCTCTCCCAGAGCCGCATAGCCCGGCTCAAGTACAGGATTGCGAAGGCGGTCATGGCCGCCGGCATGGACACATCCCCGTCTGCCGAGCTCGGTGACCCCATGGATGAATCAGGGCACTGTCGTGCGTCGATCAGCAGCATTCGCTCGGAGGACGTGGAGACGAGGGGCATGCCTGGGTCGCTCTTCCGGGGCACGTACGGCCAGGTCATGACCGCGCTCAGAGCAGCAGGCCTCACGACGGTCGCGTGCAAAGAGTCAGGCGTGCAGGAAGGTGAGGCGTGTTCGGATGCCGAAAGCCAGACCACAGTCACTCATTCTAATATGTTTGCAGCCACGCGACTGGGTGCACTCTTCGTGGCGCGCCCCAACGAGCGAGGCGGTGTTGAATTCACCAAGCTCACGCTGTGGGGATGAGACCTTGCTGGACCCAGGTGACAGCATCCACCATCGTCAGAGACAGCCTCTCTAACCGCTCGATCAGGATTTTTTCCGTTCAAGTTTAAGGGAAGGGCATCAACAGACCTGTATTTTTATACTGTATAGTGTATGTATCTGTAGTGCACGGCTGGGCCGCTGTCTCTAGTACACTAGAGTCACCCTCCGGGCGAGTGGAGGTTACCGCATCAGCTCGGAACCTATTGTACATGATATGCCATGCTTCATCCTGTTGGCGAAAGCGACAACTTGTATGGCGATGGCGTGCATCTCAGCAAATATAATGGTGTCTTACGGCAAGTTCGAATAACGAGGAGCTACTAGGCCGGTGTGGGGAATATTGATATTACACTGGTTGGTTTTGAACAAGTAAGAACCCTTGGCACAGTGGTAGCGCGTGAGATTCCAGCCTGCGGGGCCATCCCCACAAGGGAAATCCTCAAGGTCGTCCGTTCGATCCGGGCAGGGTTCACTTTTTGGCCCTTTGGGCCATGTTCTTCCACGCCTACTCGAACTTGTTCCGAACGACTCGTCTCATGCAGGTTTGGAAAGAACACATTTGCCATCGATAAAAAGTGCTGTGTAACGGGCTTATCTGTACTGTCACATCACGAGTTAAGGATCAAATCCCAATCACTGTATCGGCTGAATCCTCCAATCTCCCAGAGCATAGTAGTATATTAGTTGAGGAAACACCGTACATCCATCGACCTCATGAGGACCTGTATAGGTAGGGGAAAATTAGAAGAGAGGAAAGGCAACGAGCTTGATGATTCTACACAATCTGCAGAACCGCGAGAACACTTGGCCTAACTGCTCGATTGAGCACCCTCTCAGTGAGCTCATGGAACAGCTCCCCAGCAAAGCCACGTACCTCACGCAAATACGACGGGTCTACTTGGATCCCAACTCTTGACGTCCACACCCATCAGCTCGGGAAGCGACGACCGAAGGCTTGCCCGGAACTTCTGCTCACGACGAGCGAGAAACTTGCGGCAGGGCGCGCATATCGTGTCGTCCTTCTCCCAGTCGAGGAACAGCTCGCTAAACCCGCCACGAACGTCGTCCGCGTACGTGGGCAGAATGTCGCGAAGGTGCTCGCGGCAGGACGAGGGCGTCTTGCAGGACTCCTGCGGGGGCAGCGTGATGGTGCGTACGAAGAATGTCGTTCGCCGCCTCGCGAACATCTCTCGCGCGCGGAGGCAGAGCAGCATGTTGTGTGCGTCTAGCGTTTCCAAGAAGCCGTCGGTACGTATAGTCCCTCCTATCAGGCTCGCGACGTCCAGTTTCGTGCAACAATATAGGGCGACCAGCAAGGCTGGCGGGCATTTGATCGCCGTAAACAGGTTGGCGGCCTCAATGGCCTTATCGCCAGAGCCAAGGAGACGGCTCCATGGCTTCTTGGGAGGGAAGAGGGATCCCATGCCTAGGGTATAGACGCGTGCGACGTCGTACTTGTGCCCGAGGCGAACTAGTGCTGCGGCATCAGCGAACGGTAGATCATCGTTGGGCCTTCGCAAAAGCGGAACTGCGGAGTCAGTGCTATGCACACAGTAGTACAAATGTCGTAGGGACCCACCCAATGCCACCATAGATAGCGCGTAAAAAGCATTTGAGGTTGTGACCCGACTCAGAGAAGTGGACGACCGCGCAGTTGTATGCTGTGTCCGTGACTTGCAGGGGTCGGCCGAGGAGGTCTTGCAAGACAGTAGAGTGGCTAAAGAGTGCGCCTTGATGCACCCGAAACCCGCAGGGGCGAGATCTGGGATGGAAATTGGTAGCGGTGATGATGATGTTTCCGTCCTCGAACCAGTAGTCGGGATCTTTGACCATTCCCCGCTTGTCCGCAGGCAGAGACGGAGAAATGAGGGTTGGAGAGCGAGAAAGGGCGAGGGGCGCAGTGGTGGTCATCTGGTGAAGGGTGAATAACAGCAATCGGCGCAGGGTGCATCTTTAACTGGATGCTGCGGCAAGAGAACTCGCGAACGTAAGGGTTCCCGTATCCTTGCAAGCCTGCGGCAGACAAGTCACCCTGTTAAGGTCTGCGTTTGGCTGCTATTGTGCCGGCCACTGTGTAGAGGGGTAGAACGCCAGGCCACAGGGACAGCGCCTCGAGCTGGACACCTGTCAACGTGGAAGTGGTTCCGGCATTGCAATATCGACCTGGGTGGAACAAGGTGCAGGTCGTCTGTATGTGGATGTGCCATGCCTCATAGCAACCAGAATAAGCATTCTTGTGCCAGACTCGGAGCAGAGAGCTCTGACAGGATGCAGTCGTGATTACGTTGAAGCTCTCCGAGTTTACTACGCCGCATATCCGCGTGACTACCTCGATAGCTTCGCTATGCAACAGCAGCAGTCCGGTGCGCTATGGTCCAACACTGTCGGGTAGATATGAGTATTGGTCCGATCCTCGAATGTTTGCACTCACAAGCGACGAGAGAGCGGTTACGCCCATGTCGCGAGGGCAGCGTTATGCGACTCCACGCCATTTTGAGGCACAGGATGAAGAACAGTCGCTTGTAGTGTACAGATTCATCCAGCCCGAGGGTGTGCATTGTTCATTCACGTCAGTGTCAACTGAACTCAGGGGCGGACCTGTCAGGACCGGCCATCTGTCTTGTTGGAACAAAGTGTACAGAGTGGTTCCTACAAGCTGTGAACCTGTTGCAAGAAGAGGCAAGTGGCATGGAAAAGGGAGGCTGGCGCGCCCACGTCCATGTGTAGGGAGTGGGAATGGACGAAGAGGCATTGGCTGGGCGGCGCGTGTGGTGGCGGGTCGATCTGGAGAGGAGACGGACGGGGAGAGCGGGTCGATCGGAGTGGTCCCACCGACGGACGCGGGGCACCGTCCTACAATCCCATTCCCCATCGTCTGCACGGCCCCGAGCCTGTCCCTCGTACCACCTCCCCTCTCTCGCCTGACGCTCATACTCACCCTCGCTCTCTCCTGACGCTCATACTCACCCTCGCTCTCTCCTGCCATCCTCTCTACCACCGCTCTTGTTCGCCTGGCGCTCTGACCATCCGACCCTGCGTAGAAAGCGAACGACTTTGAGGCTTACACGCTCTCCTTCGGCCTTCGCGAGTTCGGCTATTATACCATCCCATCCTCGGCTATTCCGGCTCTGACCTAAACGCGTCTCCCCGCATCGCTATATACCTCCGCCCGCGCACCTTGCGGTCCTCGTCTGCTTGGGTTACAACCAGTCCACGTATACCGGCTGCTTCTGCCACATCCTCACCGTTCGAACCCCTCAGCCATGGCTACCGCAGGTCCGTCATTGCCCACCGCAAAGACCATCCAGGTCGATACGAGAGGGGCCATGATTTTAGACGAAGAGTCGCCCGAGGTACGTCCGCACCGTAATGCTGCGTCAGAGGGACCCAGTTCCCAGCTTCTCGCGATCCGCGCTGTGCTCCTTTGTGCATCCAATTCCTCCCCGCGGCACACGCCCTGCTCACATGCCCCCCATCTGCAGACGCGCGACAGCCGCGGTATCTACTTCCCCAACTACATCGAGCCCGTGTCCCACATTGCGGTAGATGTGAGTGCGCCGACCGCTCTTGCGCACGTCCTCCCCCCGGATCCTGACCCCGCCCCCAGATCGGAGGCTCGCTAGCCAAGGTCATCTACTTTACGCGCTCGGCGAATCCCCCATCGTCGCCCTCGCAGATCGCAACTCGTGGGTCAAGTCCTAGCGACGTACTCACCCCGCTATCGTCCTCGCCTAGCAAGGAGAGCCCCTTGTCTTCACCGCCAACCTCGGCGAAGCTCAATGGTCATCCGAGGGGCGCATTAACTCCCGCGGTCCTCGAACAGTGCAATGGGCACGGAAGCTACCTGGACATCCCTGCACACCGACAGGATGTTCACCACAGCTCAACATCGGCTGACACTACAACCGCCTCCGCGCTCTCAACACTGAACGGCACGGCGATCGCCTCTCTTTCCCCCGAGTCCGTACACCACAACCTGCTTCATGACTCGCTACTGCGGCGCGCGTCCGTGCAGCACTTCCCCGGAGGCTCGCTCAACTTTGAGCGATTCGAGACGGAGCATATTGACGAGTGCCTCGCCTTCATCCGCACGCTCATCGAGCGATCCGCAGAAATCAACGGCGTCCCGCTCGAAGAAATGCGCCGCGGCGTGAAGGTGATCGCGACCGGCGGGGGCGCGCACCGGTTCTACGAACTGCTTGGGCGCGAGCTGCAGGTTGAGGTGCACCGCGAGGACGAGATGGCGTGCCTCATTGAGGGCCTCAAGTTCATCACGCTCATCCCGGACGAGGTCTACTACTTCTCGGACGAGCTCATCCACTCCGTCTCGCACCCGAAGGAGCACCAGCTTGAGCGGCCGAGCCCGGATCCGCCGAGGTACGCGGTGTCGTTCGTGCAGGATCCGGTCCCGCAGTTGCCGTGTTTGCTCGTGAACATCGGTTCCGGTGTGTCGATCGTGAAGATCGACGAGGACGGGTCATATGAACGTGTGAGTGGTACGAGTCTGGGTGGGGGCACGCTATGGGGCCTGCTCAGTCTGCTGACGCCAGCGCGGACGTTTGACGGTGCGTCCAACTCGGTGCATGTCCGCGAGATCCGAAGTTCTGAACCGCTATGCAGAGATGCTCGCATTATCAGAGAAGGGCAACAACGAGACCGTCGACATGCTCGTCGGCGACATCTACGGCTCAGACTACTCCAAGCTCGGGCTCAAGTCAACCACCATCGCGAGCACGTTCGGCAAGGTGTTCAAAAAGCAGGGCGGCGAGCGCGGCACGTTCACACCCGAGGACATTAGCAAAAGTCTGCTGTACGCGATATCGAACAACATCGGGCAGATCGCGTACGTCGCACTTTTCCTTCGCGTTCCTTCTGCTTCCTCTGGTTCCTCGTCGTGCAGCGTCGCCTTGGCGGGCGCTTTCAATTGTGATCGGGCGACGTTCTGCTCGCTGGTCTGCTTGAGCATTGATGGTATAACGCAGACGTGCTTATTTACGCTCGATCGCTCGCGCAGGTACATGAACGCAGAAAAGTACAATCTAGACCGGATATATTTTGGAGGCTACTTCATTCGAGGTACGTCATGGCCGGGCGCCACATACGTTCCTCTCTCGTCCCGCGCACGCGCACCGTTGCGTGCGTTGGTCGTTTTTTTGTTGCGCGGCGCTGATGGGTGATGATGCGACGCGCGCGCGCGCGCCCCGACGCGCACTTGCAGGTCATGCGGCGACAATCAGCACGCTCTCGTACGCGATCCGGTTCTGGAGCAAAGGCACGAAACGGGCGCTGTTCCTGCGACACGAAGGGTTCCTGTAAGTCCTTTCCCCAACACTCTCGACCGTAACGCCCGTATCCCCATATACCCCGCACACCGCGCTGCTGCCAACGCGCGCGTATGTATGTGCGCGGTGCGCGGGATCGGCGTCCGGGCATGGACGGTGTGCTGATTCTGCTCTGCGTTGCATGCCTGCT